GTCAAGTGCCTTAGGCACTATGCTACCAGAGCTCCTTTAGTAAGGTTCATTTTAAGCCAAGCAAGATGGCAAAACTGACAAATCCTCACATTAGGGTTCCACATACCTGATTTGCACCGTCCTGTCCCCACAAAGGTGCCAGGTACCTTATTTTATTAAAAAGCTATCTAATCTCCTTAGTGTGTCACAAGCACTTCACAATTGTAGTCACCTATATTCCACCTAGTCATCTGTTGGAAGTCACAAAGACCATGGTTAGAAGAGCCATATTAAGTAATTCACTGTACTACAAGAGAGTTCTAAGTGTCCTATGGGGGACTATGAGTTGGAATTGACTGGATAGCACTTATTTATTTATTTTTAATTGTATATATGACTTTTACTGTCAGCAATGTGAAATTTTTTTCTTGTTAGTTTTTCTTCCTCTTTCTCCTTGGCCAGCTGCTCACATTTTTAGTGCTAGTGTTTCCAAGATTTTTGCTCTTCTCTCTGGACATGCAACTCATGGACTTCATGCACACTTTTGGGATTTTTAACTAATACCTGGATACAGATGACTCTTGTGGTAGTTTAGGTTGTGTGTCAACTTGGGTGGGCTTGGTTTTGACTGGCTGGGCAGCTGGTTGTAGTTATTCCCCATGATGAGACTGGTAATCAACTCCATAGTGGAATCTGCCATGAGCAGCTGAGTAGCTGCCTTAGGGATGTGGTCTGCTTCCAGTATTTAAGAAGATGCTCTGAGAATGGTCTTGAGCTTTTTGGCACACTTGGATCATGCGTTTAGCTGCATCTTCATTCAGCAGTCTGCTACATTGTCTGCTGATCTTGGGACTGTTTCCAGACTTGCACTAGTGGCCTACTGTGTTGCTTGATAATCTTGGCACTGTGTCATTTTACTTGTTGACCTTGGGTTTGTCAGCCTCAGCAGCCAGCAGCTGCCTGATTTAAGAGATGCCTCCAGCTCCAGCAGGCCAGGAGCAAGAGACATAGCTGAAGCTCAAAGTCAAAGGGCCTTCACCCAGCCCCTAGAGATAACACTTTGAACTTGTATTTCTATTCTTCTAAAATTAAGGGAATAGATCCCTGTTTGTTAAAACCATCCATTTGTGGTATTTTCTGTTAGAGCAACACTAGATAATTAAAACAACTCTCAAATCAGTATTTCCAACTCTGACTTTTTCTTGAGTGTGATTCAGATTTAAATCTATCGGCTACTTGTTGGGTGAAGTGTTTGCATGTGTCCCATTGGAACCTTAAACTCGATAACTCTCAATTGGAGCTTATCGCTAGTCTCCCCTAGACTTACACTTCTTCTCTGTTACCATATTTCAACTTCAGGGGGTGGTTTAGCCAAAGACCTACTGTTGTAGGGAGAAACTTGGAGGTTATCTAGGAAGTTTCTCTCTCCCCCCACTACATTCACCATTCTTATTGCACTGATTTTTATAAGTATTTCAGAAATCTGTCCCTCTCAGTTCATTTCTATTAGTTTTGAGTTCAGGTCTGGTATCAGATGATATCTCAGGTTGGCTGCTCCCTTAACCTCCAAAACTAGATCATAGAATGCTTAAAATGTCCACATTGTTTTCCCTTGACTACAGGATCATATGGAGACATTACTAACAGGAAACAAGGGCCCTCTGGGTTCTCACCCACCTCCTCAGTTTCTCTCTTACCACTGGCCACCCCTCATTTTACACCTTAAGAACAGCTTGCCATTTGCCATGGACACCACACTGTCCTGCTTCCGTGGTTTTGTTGATGTTGTTCTGTCTCCCTGGAATGCCATTTTCTCCTTTTTTTGCCTAATTCTTACACAACCTGAACTCAGCTCAGGTATGATTCATTCAATAGATATTTATCAATAACCAAATATATGTGAAGGTGCCATGGTGGCCCAATGGTTAAGTGCTTGGTTGCTAACCAAAAGGTTGGCAGTTTGAACCCACCAGTGGCTCCACAGGACATGGGGTCACTATGAGTTAAAAAATTGATTTGACTGCACCTAACAACAAGAAGTATGTGCCAGGCAGTATTAGGGTCCCAGTGTGGAACAGACATAGCAGACTTCATCTTCAAGGAGCTTAATTATAATGAGGGTTTCATTGAAGTTGGTCTAAGTGCCTCTTCTATGTGACCTCCTCCACTTAGCTGCCTGTGCATATGCCATCAATGCAATAGGATGGTTGGGCTGAAATCATCTTTTGTTTTCCCTGTCCTAAGGTATTGTAAATTGTCTGAGGGATAGGGCCATGCCATATTCGTCTCAGTGTTCTCAATGCCCAGAACAGTGATTGCAGCAGCAGCAGCAGCAGCAGCAGTTACCATTGAACAGATTCAGACTCATGGAGACTCCATGTGTGTCAGAGTGGAACTGCACTCTGTGGGATTTTCAATGGCTGATTTGTCAGGAGTAGACCATCAGGCCTTCCTTCCAAGGCACCTCTGGGTGAACTTGAAACTCCAACGTTTTGTTTAGCAGCCAAGTGTGTTAACTATTTGCACCACCAGTGCTTAGTACTTGGTAGCTTCTCAGTGACTCTTTTGTTGAACCTAAGTATTGGTTATGAATACATGACTCCATGTTCCAGCTTAGTTTTCGTATTTTCAAGAAAGCTTTCCTTGACCTTCCAGGACAGGTCAGAAATCCTCATTAGGGCCCTAGAACATCCTGTACTATTTTGTCCTGGCATTTTGCCCAATTTTAATGTACTGTTTCTTCAACTATTTAAATGTTTGTTTAAATTTGGTTTTCTCTTCTAAATTATAAATTCCATGAGGTCATGGTACAGCTATTGAAGTACATGGCCTCTAAGAAGTGTTCCATAGATATTTGTTGACTGACAGACTGACAAATCTGATTAAAATCCTGAATGTACTGCTAGGGCCTATAGAAAACAGACCAATCTGCTTGCTGGCCCAGTGCCTCACTCTTCCCATCTATAAAATGGAGATGTTTCTGTAGGATAATATTAGATAAGGTTTTGATAAAATCCAGTCAAGAAAAATGTACATAAATACATTATACAAAAAAGGAAGGATGGGATTAAAAATTAAACACATCAAGTGAAATTCCAGATAGGCTTGAAGTAACCATTTCAGGATATAGTACTTAATTCTTGCACAGGTAGTATAACCATTTTCTTCTCTTTTTCCTTCCCAGAATCTGAGACAGCAACTCTTGCACAGAATGAAGTTGAATCAGAACAGGTAAAAAGATTGAGAAGTATTTAAGTATATGACTTAAATTTTTAAAATTCACAGTAGAGGTTTGCAGAGATGGATCAGGGTGTGTGGGATATTGCTTAGTGGCAAAATGCATTGTAAGTATCATGAAATAGTTAAAGAATCTGTAGACTTACAGTTTTGGCAGAAACAACATTGATATTTTTACTTCTGTATGTGCAGATGCTTTGAAAAGCAAAAAGGAAAAAAAAGTATAAAAACATGCACATGCAAAATCATTACGCGTTTCTTTTCTGTAGCCCAGATTAATGACATCTGCTGAATCAACACCTGCCTCCCATTTTTCTCTTAGTAACCTTCACTTATTTTTTATTATTACAAAAGTGGACTCAAGCTGTTTTGACTAAAAACTTCAGGCAAGTACAAAAGTCTCTAAAGGAAAAGTAAAGGTCCCCATCCCTTCTTTCTTCTTCCCCATTTCTTTCTTCAGAGATTTCCAGTATGTTGTCTAATCCTTGCTGTTGTTCCACTGGCTCTGTGATTTGTGTATTGGGGACAGGACAGGAAGGGCAGGAAATAGAACATGGCCTTGGTGATGGATGATGGTGTAGCCCCTACAACAACCATGGTTTTGATGTCTAGATGCCTGCCTGCAGAATAGTACTTGGTTCTAAAGCGCTTTGATGTCAGGACCACTTTACACTCTTCAAAATGGCAATTGAGACACTGAAAATATTAATTCATTTTAAAATAACAAGAGCAAGCCCATTACATGTTAACATAAATAATGTACCAAACCAAAACCAAACCCACTGCTATCAAGTCAATTCTGACTCATAATGACCCCCATTGGGTTTCCAAGGTGGTAAATCTTTACAGAAGTAGATTGCGGAGTCTTCCTTCTATGGAATGGCTGGTGGGTTTGAACCACCAACCTTCTGGTTAGCAGTCAAATGCCTTTGACACTGCGCCTGCAGAGTTCTGTACAGTTTATGAAAAATAACATTTCCCAAATAGAAAAAAAAAAGTGAGAAAAGCATCAAAATTTTATATTTTTGCAAATCTCATTAAAGTCTAGCTTAATAGGAGACAGTCTGTATCTGCTTCACACATTCCATATGCATCAGATTGATGATGTCATCACTCCTGATTCTGGCCTCTGGGAAACTCCACCATACCTCTTCAGAGAATATAAGTGAAAATTGCAAATAATGTCTCATGAAAATTGCTTGGATTTTATGGGCCACTCCCAACTACTCTTTGAGAACCACTGCTGTGGAAACTTTCAAATTGTGTTCCATTTCTTCTTTAATCTTGTGCTCTCTAGAAGCCAAATTCAGCCATGCAAAGAATTGTACAGGTGTAGGGAAAATTCAACAGATAGGGAGTGACCAGGGAAGAGATCTGACCACAGAAAACACAACTCACTACAAAGTTATTTTTTAATCTTTTCTTCAAAATGTTGTTACTGTGATAACAAAACATTTGTCATTTTAACCATTTTTAAGTGTATATTTCAGTGGCATTGATTACATTCATCATATTGTGGAACCATCACTGCTAAACCATTTCCAAAAGATTTATGTTCCCCAAAACAGAAACCCAGTGCCCTTTGAGCAGTAACTCTTTATTCCCTCTTCCTCCTAGCTCTTCATAACTACTAATAAACTTCTGTTTCTATGTATTTGCCTATACTATTTCATATAAGTGGCATCACACAATATTTGACTTTTTGTAACTGGCTTATTTCACTCAGTATGATGTTTTCAAGGTATGTCCATGTTGTATTAGAACTTCATTTCTCTTTAGGCTGAGTAATATTCCCTTGTATGTATGTACCACATTTTATTTATCCATACATTTGTTGATAGATGCTTGGGACAGAATTTTTTTTATCTTCAGAGCACTGATCACCCCAGTACCATATGCCTGATATCTAAGGTGTAGGGATTTTAGGGGTATGGATGAAATTGTTTAGATTTCCAGAGACTTTTTAAAAATTTGTTTCAGTTTTTAAGGCTGGCTTTGTTTTCATTTTGAGACATTGAGCAAATGGTGATGAAATATTTACTGCTGTTAATGGCTAGAAGGTATTATTATTATCGGGATGAGAAACTCGTATGATGCAGACATGCAGAAATGAGTGAGTGATCACCTTCCCTGTGTCTTGCCAGATAAAACTGTCTGACAACTCTGACCTGCTGATGATCATTGCTCCCTGTGTGGGCTTCGTGGTGTTAGTGCTGCTCCTGGGGTTTCTTCTACGAGGTAAGGAAGGCAGAACAAGATGGGATGGAGCCTTTTAGAGCATAGTGACTCCAGGCAGATCTGGAAATGGGTTGTTTCTTATTCCTGACTTTCTCCACCCCAAAGTGTCTAATTTCTATCATTGTCCCCATCCTAGTCAAGGATGTAACAGGAAAACTCATTCTTTATAAAGTACTAATGGCTCATAGAAGAGCAACTTCATTTATTGGATATTTACTCTGTGCCACATGAGGGGCAGTGGTAGAATTGCATGTGGGAGACCAAGGTTCAAGACCCGGCTAATGTGTGTCAGGCACTGCCTGTCAGTGGAGGCTTGCGTGTTGCTATGATGCCAACAGGTTTTTAGCAGAGATTGTAGATTAAGATAGACTAGGGAGAAAAACCTAGCAATCTACTTGCAAACATCAACCAATACAAACCCTATGGATTACAATGATCACATCTGCTACCAACTGATTCTGGGAATGGTACAGGACCAGGCAGTTTTTTTCCCTTGTGCATAAGATATCCTTGAGTTGGGTGTTGTGGTAGTTAAGGTTGTGTGTCAATTTGGCTGGGCCTGGTTGAGTGGCTGGTGATAGTTATTCCCCATGATGAGACTGGCAATCAACTTCACGGTGGGATCTACCACAAGGAGCTGAGTAGCTGCCTTTGGGATGTGGTCTGTTTCATGTATATAAGGAGAAGCCTTGGGAATGGTCTCTAGTCTATGGCACGCTTGGACCCTGCATGTAGCCATGTCATTGCTCAGCAGTCTGCTATGCTCTGCCAACCTTGGGACTTACAATAGACTTAAGTTAATGGCCTGCTGTGTGGTTTGGTAACATCAGGACTGTGCCTTTTT